TCCATCACAGCACTCCAGTCATGTGAGCTGTCCCACTACATCCCCATGATCCCAGGGAGCTCATAGCCCTGTAACTGCACACAGGCTTCTATTCCTCCCGTTTGGTCCCCATGGTGCAGGCACTAGTGTAGGGGCGTTTCAGAGAGACGCTCAAGCGTGCTGCTTCCCAGGACAGGCTTGAGACCTTCCCCATCAGGCTGTTCTGCAGGTACCTCCTTCTTTACAAGCCTGTGCTCAAAGGTATGCCAGTTCAGGTCTTTTTTGTTGATTGCCGTGTCCTTTCTGCTCACACCACCCCAGACCCTTGGCCTACCCTGTTCCCAGCTTCCTCAGCTGCTTGTTGAGGAACCACTCCCTCCCCTGTTGTTTCTGATTTAAAGCTCTGACTACCAGGCTTGCCAGCCTGTTGACAAAGGTATTTTTTCCCTGTTTAGTCAGGTGGATCCCACCTCTTCCCAGAAACTGCTGACTCTCAAAGATGGTTCCATGGTTTTAGAAACCAAAACCCTCTTGCCAACAGCAGCCAGTTGTTGATCAGTACAAAAATATCGGCTCTGGTCAGTAAGAGGGATGGGCCGCACCCCTCATCTCTACTGGGGGGCCACGTGAACCCCAGAGGGTCTTGCCTTAAGCTTCTAGGCAAGATAATGCCAGTCTGCATGTCTTGCTTGTCTCAGGAGTCGAGACATCTGAAATGCAGTAACCCACAAACTGCTGGAACGCCGTGGCCCTGCGTCCCAGTCTTCGCAATGCTCCGTTTTTAAAAGTTTTGAGCCCCGGTTATTTGAGATCCTCTGCTGTAGCTATGAGGAGCCTCTTGCCATCCTTGCTATGATGCTTGCAGCCAGTTAATCCTTTATTTTATCTTTCTCTGCCTAAATCTGCTTTGTATAGGTTTGCTTAAGTTATATGGCAGAGCCTCTCTTCCTACATTTAGAGAAAAAGGCTTAGTTTCAAGTTTGAGCCACTGTTCTTCAAAGAGCAAGTTACTTACAAGTAGTCACTCCTTCTGCATGTGTTCAATAACCGTGTTTTGATTTAGCTTTATTAGATTTAAAATCAATATTGCTTTTCATACCAATGACCTAATCCTTATTAAAGCTCTGCCCTGACAACTTTCAAAGTTCAGCAGTTTCTTTATAAGCCTATGAAACGGGTACTGCCTGAGCTCTTTTAAAGAAAGGAAATTGATTTATTTACCTATGCTGGATTTAAAAACAGCTCACTTTTTTTTTTGTTGTTGTTGTTCCACATAAAAATCATAAGCAGTCTGAGACGGAGAACTGTGAATTTTATCTTGCCAATGAACTTTCAAAAAGTCTGAGCCTGTGTGAATTATAGTGAAAATTAAATTGTTCCCTTTGTTTTAGCAGCTGCTTTCAGAGAATTTCGCTACCTCTAGTTAGGAAGATCTGGTTAGAATGATGGTCTTCTTGCAGTTTGCTTCCATACAGATGCTGTAAGCTGAGTGTCCTCAGTTTCCTCCTAACTAACTTCATAAGAGTGCAAGTTTCAGAGGAATCTTTCTAAGACAGCTCTCACTTTACAGATAAAATTCAGGGGGTAATTCAAGAAGAAGCTGGGCAAACAAGGTAGCAGAAACCCTTTTAGAGGGTTTGTGTCTCTCTTACTTTTTTCCAGAATTTAATTGCCAAATGTATTAATGCCAAATGTTTTTATGCTTCTCCTGTGTGGGTTTGTGAATGGAGTAGCGCCCATAGGTATGCGGGCGCGAGAGGCTCTTATTTCTTCAGAGGGAAAATCAAGTGCAAAATGAAGGGGCTGTCATTACTTGGGACACAGGATTTCATAGTGCTTAATGCCAAGGTTGACCTGACCTTTCCCTTGAGTGGTTGTTTTGGACCTAATTTATAAGATAAAAGCTATAATTCACAATTGCTGTTTTCATTAAGCTGGTTCCTTGAGGAGAACAGAATGAACTTTACTTGTGATGAGTTACATTTATTTATTGGTTTACCTCTGGGTTGTTTTCAGATTATATCAAAACCCAACGAACCAGCTCGCCAGCATGAAAGCCACCCTGAGGAGACAGAAGAAGAGTTACGGGAACACCAAGCCCTTTTGGAGGAGCCATACAGCGACAGAGTCGCAAGCCAAAAGGAGGGCCCAGGGCTGGCCAACATGGTGCAAGTGAAGCAAGAACCCATCGAGAGTGATGAAGAGGAAGCAGAGCCGCAGCAGGAGCTGGAGTCTGGGCAGAGGCAGGCTGAGCAGGAGCTGCTCTTCCGTCAGGTGAGCTCGCGAAATACCAAGTTTGGGACTTGTGTCTTTGTAGAAGATTGTTTGGTTCTTGGTAGTCACCTTATACTACTCTAAGGGGGAGAAGCTGGGGGTAAGCAGCTATTGAGGATTTGCTACCTAAAAAAACTTGCAGGTAAAATCAGTGCCATCCTTCCCTGGAGTCACTGTGTCAACTCAGAAGTCCCAGGAAGGAGAATCTGGATCACGGGCACAACACGCAGTCAATGTGTTTGCAGCCACTGAACCACTTTCTGTTTGTTTCTTTGGGAAGACAAAAATGTGTCTTAACATTTTTGAGCACTAAATACTAGCAGAGGATTTTATGTTTTAAAACAAATTGACTGCCCCAGAGAAGGGCTGGATAAGGGAACGAAGGATGAGGTTCATTGGAGGGGATTCCTTCTTCAGAACTGGAGATCCCAGAGATTGCAACTGTGCTCACTTTTGAGGGTAAACACCAGAGGCTTGTGGATTGCAAGTAATAAATCCAATAACAACGTAGCATAGCATAATCTTCCCAATTACATAGCAGTCTCCCAAAAGCTGCTTGTTGTGGTAGCAGTAATGAAGGCGAGAAGGTTGCAGTCCTCTTAAGGCATCAGTGCTCTGCTCATCTTTGCAGCCCTTAGCACTCAGCATCTGACTGTACCTACAGCCATGTGTAACCCCCGCACGGGATCTGCAGCCAAGAGCAGATTGCTGTAGCCATGCCAGGGTGTAGCTCTCTGAGTAAATCCACAGCCCTTGGCTAGGGAAAGCGGACTTGTGCCAGGTTTGCAGTTGCAATGTCTGTGAACCAGGTGCAAATTGGTTGCTCCCTGTAGTCATTTGCATCTCGCTGCTCGCTGATGTCTTCCTAGCACTGCGGAGCTGACTCGCCTGTCCCACATGAATGTCGCTGGCTGTTGCTCAGAGACTACATTTTCGTTTCCTTATTGAGCAGCGTTATCTTCATAACAGCGCTGCCTTGAAGGATCAATGCCATTGGCAACCATGCTTGTACAAAGTGTTATTTGGTTTATACAGTCACATCTGAGGCTCATTGTCGTAGTAAATAAATAAATAAATAAAATGTAGCATGCTGCTAAAGATGAACCACGATGATACCGCTCCTCTGAAAGTGCAGCCCTCCTGCCCCCGTCCTGAATGCATGATCACACCTGACGAGTCTTAAAAATACTATGTCGGTTGCAATTATTTTGCCTCAAAGAGGCGAGGGAATAGAGGAAATGGGAAGGTGGTTAGGCTGTGGTTGGAGTGTGGCAAGCTGGAACAGCCATCCCTGCAGACCAAGGGCCTGTCCAAGCTGATGGTGTGGCTGCAGAGGGGACCAGCTCGGTTGAAAACTCCCTCTCCTGCCTGGGGTCTGGCTGAGCCGGACTTATTCCCTGGTCTGGTGCATCGCAGTTAAATGCACCAGTGCAGCGGGCTGGGGGCACAGGGGGAGGAAGACATGGCCAGTCCCAGGGGGAGGATGGAGCTGCTTCTGCTGATGACCCTGCTAGCATGCACCAGCTTCAGGGCTGTGGTTTGAATGTGCTGTGCTTGCCTGACTTTGCTCTAGAAATGTGCACATCTTTATTTGCTGCATGTGTATGCGTCCGCTGATTTGTCAGGGAAAGGAGTCCAAGCCTGTGAACCTTAAAAATCCTTAAAAACCCTTTTATGAAGGCACCACCACACAGACTTTCAGCAACTACCTGCTTCTCTTCCCTGCAGCAAGCCCTTCTGTTGGAGCAGCAACGTATTCACCAGCTGAGAAACTACCAGGCGTCGCTGGAGGCAGCTGGCATGCCCGTCTCTTTCGGAGGGCATCGGCCTCTGTCCCGTGCACAGTCCTCACCTGCCTCGGCCACCTTCCCGATGTCCGTACAGGAACCACCCACTAAGCCAAGGTTCACAACAGGTAACGTTTTGGGGCACTGGAGGCTGAAGCAGTGGGGCTGTGGTTACCGTTTTGCCTTATATTGTCCCTGCAAAGTCAGCTGTTTGGGGTCTGCATCTCAGCTGTGTTTGTGGTCTCCATACCATCCTGTCCTCTTCGAGGATAAGATTCAGTCGTCTTGCACCCTGCTGTCCTGCTTGTCTCTTCCCCGGAGGGACAGACACCCTACAGTCCAGACAGAAAATAACCTGCAAAAATCAATAAAGTGTAGCACAGTACTTTAATTATGTATCTCCAGAAAAAACAAGGACAAGTCATATGCTGTGACAAGGCTGATTTAGATGCAAGGCAGAGAGAGGCAATGTTATAGAAAAAAGACAGCATGCCAAACACAGTATCTGTTGGCTGTATTTTCTGCTCCTTCTCCAGTCCCTGCACAATCTCATGCCATAAGTTACCCACCCCGGGCTCTGTGCCAGCCTACCCCTCCTTCTGAAACACAATCTCTGCCCAGGAGTCTGTGCCTGTGGGTTAGGAAAAGTGAGGTGGGTCCATTATTTCAAGTTGTCAGGGTGCAGAAACAGGCCAAAGAGTGTTTTCTTACCTGTTGGGCCTTCATCTCGAAGGAAAATTATGAGTGCAATTCTAGTGAAAACCAGAAATGCAAAAAAAGGTGTTAATCTCCCCACAAAGGTTAAAGGCGAAAAATAATTGTTCTTCCTAAATCCCAACAACCAACTTTTTTCCACCAAAATCCTTTCTGTCTATTCAGTAGCCTTAGTAACAGATGAAAGTTAATTTATGTGCAACTTTTCAAGCCCTGTGTTGGGTGATTAGGCGGACTTATTTTGAAGTCCGCCTTCTTCCCCAAATGTCAAGCTCTATTTTGTGAATGAACATTTTGCAATATCATGTGTGCCCTGGGAAAAGGAAGGGAAAAAAAATCCAGAACGCCCAAATGAGAGCAACTCATGATTTTGTTTCTCTTTCACTTCCCCATTTATTCTTATTTAACCCACACTTTTTGCATCATTAAAATTGGCACTGTGAATTGGGTTTATTTTCAAACACTGATGGTATATAGTAATAGTGATATGTTAAATATGACTTTGTTCTTCAGGTGCTAGCTGCAGGGTGGGAAGCGTGTGCGATCAGCTCTGTAAAAGCCCAAGCAGTATCCCATTTTTGCAAATCAGCCCTTCTAGTTGTTGTTAATATTGAAACCATGAATTTCAGCAAAACTGCATTTGTAATGCAACCAGTTATAGCAAGATTATTCTAGATTTTGGCTTTTGCCAAGGATACAAAGAAGGGTAGTCCCCTGGCTCATGGTCAAACCAGATGAAACAAGCATCTAAGACACTTAGACCCAAGCCTTGGTGCTTTAAAAACAAGGAAGCCTGGTCCTACTTTAAGAGATTATTCATTCCTTCTCTTTCTTCCTTTCTCCTCCTCCGGTATTTAAGTCACCTTGTCAATCATGCGCAAGACTTTGAACATACAATAACATTTCCTACCAGAGGATATAAGTTTGACTCAGATATGTGCCTCTAAATTTAATTTAAAATTACAGGTAACAGTAAGAATGCAGATTTTGAGAACCATGCTGCTTTGAAAAGGCACTTTTACAATGTTATGATTTATTTTCCGTGGAGGCAGTGTTTAAAAACAAAAAAAATGGCTTAAAATAAGAGATGGAATATCCCATTGCTTTTATATAGCACCAGACAATCCAGTGCGATGATATGAAGAATGCTTAGCGTATTTCACCTGTTAAATACACTTTTCACGGCATTCATTCACGGTAGGAGTCCAAGGGCTTAATTTTTCCATTGCCTTCTGTCTCGTGCAGTTCTCTACATTTACACTAGGTGAATGGAGGAGGAAAAATACAATAAAATGCTGTCAAGGGAGGAAGTGTTGGGCATTCACTGGCACTAATAAAGATGCAAAGCATAAAAGGTGAGACTTTTATACTAGTCCTATAACTAATCCTTCACCTCACATAAAAGGTGAAGGACTAGTTTAATTAACTGTCACTATCTGCTTAACGGTGGCAGGAAAAAAAGAGGCTTTTACTATGGGTGTGCAAGCACAGAAAGGAAAGGCAGGCATTTCAGCTGTTGAGCATGTGTGTGCGAGTTAGATTGCTAATGTTTTCTTGAAGTTGTCCACAGTGTGTCGGAGATTGTGTTTTTTAAGGTGGATGCTAAAGCTTAATCACTAGGATTGAACTATTCTTTGAAAGGCAGGAAATTAGTGTCTTGGATATTTTTCAAAGCAAGCAGTGCTGAAGTGCATCAGGCTTCTTTTTCGCTAGGAAAATCCATCTGTTTGATAAGTGACTGCTTTGGAGACTGATCCTGAAATGACTATGCGCTTTGGATTTCAGAGAAATTAAGATTTGAATTGTTGTGATCATTTTGTGAGAGGGCTGGAAAAAACAAACCTCATTCAATGGCCCTAATGAAGCCAACCATGATCGCTCTAGAGACGAATGTGGTTCTTAAGAGATCGGTTATTTTCCAACAGACAAAGGATTTGTTCATCATTTTCATGTTTGAGATATCATACAGAAAATGCTAATGCTTTCTCTGGACAGAATTAGGACCAGACAGCTAGAAATTGTGGGGTTACATATAATTTATTTTCCTGTCTCTATCAGTGTTTTTTTTTGGAAAGAACAACATAATACACCTCTCAAACATGATGTGCATTACTCCACATGAAAGTGAAAACAGTGCCCTTCCTGACTTCTTCAAGCAATCAGTTTTATGTCCCAAAGCATGACATTTAATTTTCCTTCCTACTAGCATATAAAAGAAAGCTAGTCCTTGAACGTGCCCTCGCTAGCACAAGTAGCCCCCTTGACTTTAATGAATACTTCTGCACGCACTGTTCTACACACTTGAATAAGACTTCTCAGGTTAGGCCATTAATTTGCATAGCTCCAATTATCCAGTCTCTGATCTCCTGTAAAAATCGTTCCACAAATTATTCTGATGTTCTGCATTAAAGTATTTTTCATTTCTGATGAAGGCATTTATTCTCTCCTGTGCAGAGCAATACAATTATCTGAACCTCAAATCATATGTTTGTTCTGCCAAGAAAAGCGAGTTGGTTATGCTTTAGTGCTGACCTTTAAAAGTGATTGTTCTCATGTCTTAAAGAGTATTGCTTCCAGCACCACTTAATTTAACTTGTAATGGCCAATGTAGTTTTGTATTTTAAGCTTAAATTGCTAAGCTTTCCTTTGTGTGTGTGTGTCTTCATCTGAGTGTCCCCAACCACAGGAAGGAACTTGGAACAGTTCCCTTCTTTCCAGTGGTTTAGTTGTTAAAAAAGAGAAATGTTGAGTGACGTGTGATTACAGTACGGAAGAACTTCATTGAGACACTACTGTTATCACTGAATCATTGGGAAAGAAGAAACTTTATAGATCCACCAAATTCTATAAACCCCACTGTAGTCTCCGTTAACAAATAAGAGACGAGCAGGCGTCCTACCACCCCCTTTTCTGAAAACCTTTTCTTTAACCCCCTCATCTACCTACGTTGAATAGGCTCAGTTACCAAAATCCATTTTAGATGTGTGCATGTATTTTAAACACATGTAGCTTTCCAGCACTTGCGGATGCAGCTGAGGAGGTGCTGGCTTGTGTGGCTGGGGATCTCGCCCATGGCTACCTGTGTCTGCTCTCTTAGCTGGCACCGAGTAGGATGAGCTGATAAATACCGCTGCTTACTTCCTCCAAAAAACTGGGAGATACCTGGCAGATCTGCTGCACTGTAGGAAGACAAGGGAAGAACAGAAGAATATAAGGTCAATGCAAAAAGCTGTTTTTTCATTTGCATTTATCTTTGGTTTGAATCTGTGTTGGCTTCTGCCCTACCATGTTCTAGGGTTACCCAGGTACAAAATAGAGAACAAGACAGAGACTTTTAATCTGGCTAGGAATTGCTTTACCTATGTACCTAGAGTTGCATCATGGTAATTTTTCAGGAGTTACTATTTAAAGCTTGAAGACTTGGGGAAAACACCCTTTAAAAAGAAACTTGCAACACACTCACATATCAACTATTTAAATGGTCTTAGACTCCTTCCAACTTTGCAGTGCAATCAGTATAATTCACTGTCAGGTTGGGCCCAGCTCCCAAGTAGCGAAAAGATTTGTTAAAGCAATAGCATTAAGCATCGTCTGGGAATCCAGGAGGTGAGCAAGAAGAGGCTGCTTAAAAAACACCGCTTGAAAATGCTTGATATTTTTTCCACAAACTGATGAAGGTATGGCGTGAACTGGCCTCAGATTTATCTCCAGGTTGGAGTGTTCTTTGCAAATGAGGTGCCGCTTCTTCATCATAGCTTTCCTGTATTCTATTTTACTTTTCCATTAGAGAATTCTCTGATGCACTCTCCTGCCTGTGCTCCATGCAGTGTGGTTTCTCGTTCCCCTTCTCTTTGGCCGTTACCTGAATGCCTCAGTTGCACTATCTTTAGTCCTTGGTCTCTAAGGTCGGTGCCCTCAGAAGCACCTTCTGAGGTCCTGGCCCCACTGATGGCAACAGCAGAGTGCCTGTGGACTGAAGGGAGCCAGGGTTGCACCCAGGCAGGTCAGCAGCTATCTGATGAATGACTTGCTGCTTGTACTTCTTTTTTGTTTAAATTCAAGGCTAGTTGTTGACTGTGAATATATATGTTGAATAGATACGCATGCAGCTTTTGGCTTTAAGTCTATAAAGCCTAGTTGTAGTCCCTGTAGATATGTCAGGAAATCAGAGAAGGCAGAACCACTTTGCTTTCTTTAATATGAACGATTTAGCCAAACCTAGTGCAGTCCCATATAGTCTAGGAGGACATCTGCGTGAGGTTCTTTTGGGTAACAAATACTTTTTCAAAATGCATGATGTCCCCTGAAGATGAGTTTCCTTCAAAAATAAATTAACCTGAGGCGAAGTTACCGCAGACCTTGCACTAGTTTAAATGAACTCAGACTGGGGAGTTCTCATGGACAGCCAGCCTTAGCATTGGGCTACAGCTTCTTCTCGGGTGACATTTACAGTGCTTGCCTTTGCCCCAGCAGCTCCATTAGGAGCTGTGAATCAAATGTGGGAGACCTCTACAGAGCTTTGCAGCACGATCTTATTTAACTGAACTTTGGCTAACCCAAAGGCAGTCAATTAACCAGTGCTCTGTTCTCTTCCTAGAACTGAATGTGGTTTGGGTTTTACTGGTTTTTTTTCTTTGCACTCACCTACAGCAAAGCAAGGAGCTGCCAGATACCTCCCCTAAGGCTGAATACCTGAAAGTGTCAGTGCCAGGGTTTGCCTCAGACGAGAAAGCCAAATTTTTCAGTGGCAGAACATGCCTACACTCAGTCAAAAGGTGTGATTGCAGCTCGAGCCAAGCTTGGGTACATGCAGCAGCACGGCGCTCAGCTCCAGGCTACGTGTCCATGTATGTTCTCAGAGTCTGGTTTCTTAACCAGCCCCTTTGAACTCCATGCAGTTGCAGATTGTGCTGTTTATCGGTACTTGAACTGGCTACATGAAAGCTCCTTGAGCTGTGTTCACGCCACCCGCTGCAGCATAGGTGTGCTTGTCTGGGATTTCGGAGGAATGATATCGGTTGGAGCGCAGACCCTTTAACATCGGGATCTGGGAATAGCTCCTGCCTTCACTACTAATTCAAAGGCTTTGGATTCTCGTCAAGACTTTTGATTTGCAAATTTATACTGTGCTTTCAGACAGATATTTTCTTGCAAGAAACCTTACTCCTTGGGGAAGAAAAAAAATCCAACCCCTTTTGTTCTGTTCTCTGGAGGTTCTGGCTGAAAGGAATGGTAGATTTAAACATTTGAGTATGTGTCTCTTGCTTAAGTGAAAAAAAGGCCTTTTGTCCCTGGGACTGCATAGCTGTGGAGGACCTGCTGTTTTCCTCCAGTGGAACATTGGCTATGAAATCATAACTCCCCTTCCAAAAACGTACCCGGGCAACTCTGGAGCATGAATCAAAGTCTCCTACCCTGTTGTCATGCCGTAAATACTTGGTAATGCAAGGGGATTTAGCTGCCTGACTGCCACATTCAAATGAAACAACACTGCTAAATACCTACATATAGTGCTGAATAATTATGCCCAAGCGTGTACTAATAGCCTTAATTAGCATGTTGTCAAATAACGTTGATGCAAAAGACTTCAGCACAAACTATTTTATGAAACATAGTGCCTGCTAATGACTTACTCCTCCTGGTTTTTAATCCCAAGCCCTAGAGTCGTTTTAGCAGCGATTATAAAAGTAGAAAAGTTGCAAGTCGGTCCCAGTTGCAAGTTGCAACCCAGCAGAAAAGTTGCAAGTCAGTCCCCTCCTAGGTCATGTTCCTATGCCGGCACCTCTGTACTCATACTGATGCTTTCGGTTGTCACCTCCATCTGTGACTCTCACAACTTCAGCCTGCAGAGGTGTTGGTGACTAATTTCTTCTCCATATCCACTGAGGATTTCCAGAGGAAGGGATTGTTGCAGGTTTGGTGCTGTCTCAAAGCAGCATCTTGGATTTTCGTTTCTTAGAGCTCTGTGGCTCCTGGTAAAACACACAGTCTTTGTCTAGAAGTGTTCAGTTGAATATGAAGTACTGTAGTAAAAAAAAAAAAGGGTTTTTTCCATATATCTGGCAATCTTTTTTTTTTTTTTTTTTAACTGACAGCAATTTTGTAACCTCTGCTGCAGGCCTTGTATATGACACCTTGATGCTGAAACACCAGTGTACCTGTGGAAACACAAACAGCCACCCAGAGCACGCGGGGAGGATCCAGAGCATCTGGTCCCGGCTCCAGGAGACGGGTCTCCGTGGCAAGTGTGAGGTAATAAAAATACCAGCAAAGTGGGAGGAGATGAGGTGGTAGACCTGGGAGAAAGGGAGAATTTGGATTTGTGTCGCTGATTCGGCTGCTGGATTATGAGCATTTTGGGGGGGCTGATTTCTCATCTGGATGATAGCGTATGTACCGAACCTGCAGCTCGGGCTGTTGATTGCTAGCTGGATGTGCAAACTTTATACTGCATTCTGGCTTGAGATTTTTATAGCTCCAGCTGTTGGCACTGTTTTGCCATATGTGGCCTAAATTTAATCCATTCCTAGATGACTGCTTATGCTTGTGTGTGTGCGCGTCTGTCAGGAGTACTTTTCTAGCGATCCGATTTCATTGCATTGTGATGACTGTTAGAAATTTCATGAAACGTTGGAGAATGCTCTTGCCCGATGTTGCAGTGAAGCCGCTTCTGTAATTTTCGGTCTTATTCCCTGTGAACTGGAAGTCCCTACCAAGTGTTGGATTTTGAAGCAGCCAAAGATAAGAGAAAGATATGAAGTAACCATGTTATTTGTTATCACTCCAATCATAACAACAAAAGCTGTGGAGCAACAAGTTTGTATTTCTGTGTTTTAATAACTTTTTTAATACTCTTTGATAAGTAATGGTCAACCTATAGTTAAGATACAGTAAAAAGAATGAGGGCAGGAGGACGTAACTAAGCACTATTCCGTCACAAGAGGTTGAATTAATGGCATTGGACATACATGTCTTAAGAGCAAGGTAAACTAAGATAAAAGCTTAGATACTGAAATAAAAAGACTAATGATTAATAATGGTGATTAATAATTGTTATTCATAACTAGTAGCAGTGATGATAGATTAATGGTAGCATGTGTTCATCGGTTCTTTGGGAATCTGAGGGGACTGAATCACACAGTGTGTTTGAGTTATGTCAGCATCTGGCTAGAAATATTTTCTGAGCAATCAGAAAAGACATCCACGTGGTGGCAGCATTGCCGTTAGCTAAAGTTCCCCATTGTACCCTTATTTATCCCTGAAGAGAGCAAGGAAGTACTTCAAACGTGTTTCTGTCTGCAGAGACCCATTTAATTTAATTTTGGGATTATTATTTGGGATGCCCG